GATATTTTTTTTCCATTTTACCATTTATAAATGAACGATGGCAGGCATATAGTAGTTTTATACCCACGTGATGTCCATGTATATATTGTAGGAGTACTAAATTTGCCAATATTATTGCCACAGTATTACCTTTATCACATAGTTTCACTTGGAAACGTTTCAAGGGTGTAATATAATTTGTGGTGTGTAATTTATTTATTGGTATAAATATAAAACCATGCATATTATTTTTTATAGAGAATCTCTTATTATTATTATTATAAGCGCATATAAATGAACTGATTAATTTTAGATGGTGACAAAAAAAGTTTAAGTACGAGTGGACATGAATTGAAACAAGATTATAAAGCTAAAAAAATTATATAAATTTACTATTGCTTTTTATCAGTCGCTTAGAAACAAATTAATATGAACAATGAATAGTTAGCTGTTACTCTGTGTGGCCACCAGGTGGAGGCAGAACTACAGTTTTACTTTATATTCGACTGAAGGCCCTGATATTCTTTTTTATTTTTATTTTTTTTAAATAAATGTGGATTATAAAGGCTATCATTTTGACTATATTTACGATCCATTAAAACTGTCCAGTTTATATTCTTAAAAATATATTAGCATATCTGATTTCACACGTTAATTTAGCTCAGTTCCCACGGTCCGTGTTTGATGTGGAATATTTAATCTACTTTTTGATTTATTTATCAGTTTTATTCATTGCTATTATTATTATCAATATAAAGGTTCACTATATAAAATAGTACATGCCTAGTGTATTTAATGCAATTGCTCAATTAGAGCAAACCTTGAGATATATACACTACATAGCTGGTTGTCCTATAACCCAACAAGATGTCCTCTTTTTTAAGTGTGATTTAAATTCATCCGTCTCTGATGTTGTAAATTTAGTTTTGTTGATGGGTAAATATCATATCCATACTTGTAAATGGGAAAAAAAAGTAAACCCTCCTTCAATATATTTTTATGTGAGTTTGCTAAAATGTTTCAGAGCTTCAAAAAAACATAATAGAAAATCTGAAAAGTTATGCTTCTCTTTGTCAAAATATTTATTACTTTAGTATCTTTTTTCTTTATAATGTCTACATCGGCTACATCTTTCTTTTCATCCTTGCTTTTGATGTTTTTTTTTCTTTCTTCTTCTTCTTTAATGTAAACTCTGTGTTTGTCTCAATGGAAGTGTCTTACATTGTTCCCTGTCTTTTTTATGTACATTAAGCCAAAAAAAAAACCTTGAGAGTGGTGCAGAAACAGCAAGACTTCACAAGACTTTCGCTTTGACTCGTCAGGATATTGAGCAACCAAACCAAATCATGTTCTTTAGCGAACCAAGACATCTCAAACTCACATCTGCGACCGATACAAACACGCGACACACGTGTGGAATCAACCCATGCTTTTATTTCATTTGTTGCATATAAAATGATTTTTCTGTATTTTTCCTTGTAGTTTATGGACTTGAAACAGATTGGAGATGGATCTACAGCACCGGCCAAAGACTGTAAGAGACTGAAAGAAGTGTTTCAGTTTTTAATCAAATGTTAAAGTATCCCTTTAATGACATTGAAAAAATACCAGTAATGAATAATAATAGCCACGATTGGCTTTGGTCCAGGGCTGCTAAAATCTACAGTATGCGTGTCAGAAAGTATGCTTGTTTAACATCTGAAACTCTAGGACTCGTTCAGTTTAGTGCACAAGCACATCTACAAGGCTGGATGAGATGAAGGTAGCAGACGGCACCTGAACGAAGTTAAAGAACAGCATGAAAGTAGAAGATCACAAGCAGCCAAGCACCTCTAGGGCAAACCAAACCGTCCCGGGACTATTGCAGCCGCTGTGCCGACAGCGGCGTTCACTATGTGCCACTTTGTTGGACCTACAAATGAAAAGAAGTAACCCAAGGCATCCTAAGCTTTAGCTTTAAATGCAGCGCATAAGATGCCCTGATACCCTGGCAGCAGACATCGTTCTCCGAAACACGTAAAGAGACCAAACGGACTCACAAATAAAGAAAGAGTTTTGAAGTTAAGGCACAGCCCTGGGGCCAAACGCCAGTGGCGACTCGTCTCAAATGGTTTGGCTTTCCCCAGATCTCCAGAAACACACGTTAGAAAGTGACCTTCTTGTTTTTATACAGAATATCATCATCATCATCATCATCGGTTTTTTGTTTTTACATGGGATAGTATTTATAATAATAAACATTCTCTCAACAAGAGTTTACCAAATACAGCAACTCCATCCGGGACGAAGTTTAGAATCTGTCATCATTTACAACAAACATTACAATATATACAGCTAAATAAATACATCGTTGTAAACAGCAGAAAAAAAATATAACAACAACCAAAATCCATAATCAGGTAAGGTCATCTGGTGAGGAAAGAATATCATGGCACAAACGTAAATGAAATTATATATAACAAAATCAGTACTACTCGAGCCAGGTTTCAAGTTTCTGTGAGCGTATTACAATAACTACAGACTTTAAAAAGTTTGTTCTATGTACACAACCAAAAACAGGAGGCCAGTAACTTGCAAGTCCACACGCTCTATGCTACAGTTGATGGTCTACAGTACTGCTTTCAAACAGAAGCCAAACAATAAATTAAAATCATATACAGATATAAATAAGTCCTTATTAAAAGCCATGTGTCACATAGGGAAGTTTTGGTGTGAAATGAAAATGTGGATTTTGACGCTGAACTGCATCTAGCCCTAAGAGAAGATCTCTGATCTAATGAATCGGGACGGATGGAGAAACACAGGTGATTGTGAAAGGCATTGCACGACAAATACGCTACGATTGTAGAATACGCATGCACAGGATGGATGTGGTTTTTGGGAGTTTGTGGTTTTCGTTTTACGTGTGAGATCCTGCAAGTGAAAACTGAACAAGGCAAAAGGAAAGAAAATCAGAGTCACGCGCTATAAAAAATCTCCAGATGTCTTAATAACAGAAGTGCTTCAGATAAATGGCTGGATGTCTGATATACACCCATGACAGGATGCTGCCAGTAAAAGAAGTTCAGCTTGACCTGGAGTTATAAAGCCTGAACAGGATGTTTGTGTCAGTCTTTGAATGGTGATTAAAGTCAATTATAAAGTTCTTAAAGGCGTATGTTTGGTAACACATTACTTGATGCCTGCAATGTATATAAATATTTTAATACTACATATTATTTGCATTAAGACGCACAATATATGTGTATATGCGTATTATATGTGTGTGTGTGTATATATATGTGTGTGTAAATATGTATATATATATATATGAGACTGAAAGTGTATTAATATTAATTTGGTGCTTGTAATGTTAATACTTTAACATTATATTTTACACATTTTATATATATATATATTTTTTTACAGGCTTCAAGTGCAGTGTTGCTGAAATAACTGCTCCAAAACAAGGCAGAAATGAGTTGAACGCACATAAAGCATCTGTAGGTGTATTGAGAGGCTCGTTGGCGGTAAAGTGTTTGACGGAGTAAAAAAAAGACCGTAACGATGTAAATACAGCTTCTGAAAGGAGGTTGTGTGACAGACAGCAGTGATGTGAATATGGTGGTGAACACACGACCCACGTCACGTACTTGCAAGTTACCCTTCGCACAAAGTTTCCTCGAAAACGCAACAGCTGCTGTTTTGTTATTTAAAAAGTAATTATGTAAAAATCTGTATGTATACCGTACAAAATCATCGAAGAGGCCATGACAGCACTTAGTTTTTTTGTCTTTTGTGAAATTTTTCTCAGTCAAAAGTTTAGGAAGACTTAAAACGTAGAAAATAAGGTCTCTTTGAAATCCAAGGAAACGCGTTCCTGCGTCGATCCCCGCTGGCGTCTCTGATTGCTTTGTGCGGGGAATTTCCTCAGTCGTCCACAGAGAATCACAGAGGAGGAGGAGGAGGAGCGTTAGGCTAACTGAGACTCGTTATAGCACTTGCGTATCATTGCTCTTTTGTTGATTTTGATTGCTTCTATTGTCCTCATTTGTAGGTCGCTTTGGATACAAGCATCTGCTAAATGACTAAATGTAAATGTAACGAAATAAAGATGAAATAAAATAGAAATATTTGATGAAAAAATGTTATGTAAAAAAAAAATAGAAAAGTTGCTTTGGCAACTAACTGAAATACGTTGAAGTACTACAACTAAAACTGAAATAAATAATTTTTTTTCCACTGACAAAGTGTTTGTATGAACTAAAACTGAAATAATTACAAAACATATTCAATAATTGAAATAAAATAAAATATAAATATTAGATGAAAAACTTAAAAAATTTAAATAAATCCGAATATATCTATGAAAAAACTATGTATATTATATCTGTATAAAAATTAAAATGTATACAAAAATATACATACAAAATAAAATAATTTGAAGTTAAAGTACTAAAACTGAAATAAAAATAAATGAAAACTAATCAGAAATATTAGTTTGAAAATATATAGAAACATAGTTTTGTTATATACATTAGACTTGCATTATTTTTTGTTCTGTAGCCGCACCACTCACTCACACACACACATTAAAAATTAATTAATGAAAATAATAATTTGTTCCGTCAGCTGATTTCATAATGGTTTATTAGATTGAACAATTTCATAGAAAAAAAAAATTGTCCCCATTTTTCTTTGCAATGCTTTTTTTTTATTTAGCACTTTATCTTACAATTAACCGTTTTATTTTTGACTCATAGTAGGGTAGAAGGTAGAAACGTAGTTCCATAGTTCCTTCTGGAATGGATGAGCCCACCTGAGACTTCTCTACAGAGGCGTTGTGTTTGTCACACATGGGGCTGATCTCCATCCCTCGCTCTCTCTCTCGGTCGCCCTGACTGAAGAACTCCTCCATGATGCGGTCCGTCCACTTATTTGTTCCGTTAGCTGATTTCATAATGGTTTATTAGATTGAACAATTTCATAGGAAAAAAAATTGTCCCCATTTTTCTTTGCAATGCTTTTTTTTATTTAGCACTTTATCTTACAATTAACCGTTTTATTTTTGACTCATAGTAGGGTAGAAGGTAGAAACGTAGTTCCATAGTTTCTTCTGGAATGGATGAGCCCACCTGAGACTTCTCTACAGAGGCGTTGTGTTTGTCACACATGGGGCTGATCTCCATCCCTCGCTCTCTCTCTCGGTCGCCCTGACTGAAGAACTCCTCCATGATGCGGTCCGTCCACTGTCTGTACAGCTGCAGGGGTTTGGTGGGGTTACTGAGATCCGCACAGTGAACCATGTTCTGAAGCACCTGAGGAACATCAGCACATGCTTCACCGAGAAGTCACTGTTAACTTACAATTGAAATACTGTATAATGTGTCAGATGCAACTGAGAAAACTATATATCCTATAATTAAAACTAATTAGTAACATAAAAAAATCATATAAAATGTAAATCTACGTTTAAAATGTTAAACACCATTAGATAGTTCTTGAAATTCTATCAATTAACGATTAACAATTTCAGCTGAATTTACAATTTAAATATTGTAAAATATGTCAGATATAGCTGAGAAAATGACATCCTATATGTACAACAAATCAGTATCGTAACATTTTTTTGTTAAATATTAAACGTATTTAATATCCCATTAGATCATTATTGAAGCTGTATGAATTTACAATTTCTGCATAATTTAGCATTTATTATGTCAAATGTGTCAGATGCAGCTGAGAAAACGACATCCTATATTACAACAAATCAGTATCATACAAAACTAGTTAAATATTAAAATGATAAGTGTTCATTCTTATTTATCACACTAGATTAAGTTAGACTAAGGTATTTAAGTTGTGTACATTTCCAGTTTATTTTTTATTTACACTTTAATTCATGTAAAATCAGTCAGATGGAGCTGAGAAAACTACATTTTATATTTACAAATAAGTATCATAAAAATACCAAAAATATATTTAAAAAAAACGAATGTCTCATTAGATAGTTATTGAAGTTCTATGAATTTCCTATTTAAATACTGTAAAATGAGTCGGATGCAGCTGAGAAAACATCATCGTATATTTACAACATATCAGAATCATAACCAAAAAAAAGTTAAATAATAAATTAATTTATAAAAGGACCCATTAGGTAGTTATTGAAGTTCTAAGAATTTCTAGTTATGTAGCTGAGAAATTGATATAAACAAGTCAACATGAATAAAATAAAACTAAGTTAAATAATAAAGTCACAAAAGTTAAACATTTAATATCTCGTTAGATAGTCTTTGAAGTTTATGAATTTCTATGAATTTTTTATTTATTCTTAATTGACCATTTAATTAATGTAAAAAGTGCCAAAGCTTTTTACGTTTACAAACAATGACAACAATTGTTTTTAAAAAATAAGTCGACTTGAAAGTAATTCTGATAAATATGATTTAAAATCCCACTATGCAGTTTTGGAAGTTCTATGAATTTCCATTGTACTGTGATTGTGAATGTACCCCACTGGTCAACAAAACACAAAGTCCTGCCCAGTTCACGCCATTGGCTGAGCCAGAAGTGGCTGTGTTGGGCCGCCTGAACAAACTCAACAGTGTTTTGATAGAGCCAGAGTTTACAGGAAGTCAAAAAAGACCCGTATCAGCTTAAAAGACTCACTTGGATCCTGTCTGAGTAGTTATCCAAGAGCAAGACTCCAGAACTGGTGACCTTCTTGGTCTCGACCATGGTCTTCAGATCGGCCAGCAGGTTCATGTGTTTGGACATATCAGTCGCCAAGACCTTGGAGAAACGTGCGAGAAAACCTTGAGCCAGAACTCTGAACGAACATCATCAATGCTAAATGTCATTCGAGCGGGACGTACGATGTCGATGACCATCTTGCGCAGCGATTGTCTCTGTTTTTTGGTCAGGTTCTGGAAGATGTCACAGTTCTCCTCCTGCAGGAGTTTGAAGCCCACTGCCAGATGATGGTTTTCCAGCACCGACGAGTCATTGTACATGAGGGCCAACTCCGAGTCTGCAGACATGAAGAAAACAGTCTTGTGCTAATCTGTAGACGAGCGTGACAAACAGCAGGAGTCTGTGAGAGATTACAGCGCGACGCAGGAGACAGACACACACAATCCCATGAGGCCTGAGTCGCATTTATCTGTCCTATCAGTGCTGCTTATGACAAAATAAAGTTATGTAAGCGGCGGTTGCGTGGTTTTGAGGACAGATGTGTGCTGGTCTGTGTGTCTCTGAGCTGATGGGATTGAGTGATCTGCTCCCAAGCGTTTCACTGAATCTACAGATCCGTCCTTTAACATACAAACCTCATGAGCTGCCATTCAGGCCTTTATTATATATATATATATTGTTATTTATCAGATGGATAGTACTCGTTCTGCTGATTGGTCAAATTATGCATTCTACTTATTCGAAGTAACTATTAACCTTAGCTTTTAGGGGAATTTTTTTAGAGGAAGAATAACTTGATTAATTTGTGCTCTTAATGTATATATATTTTTAATTATTATTTATAAAGGTAATAAATAAAACATACCTTATGGCTTAATTACAAGTAGTCATTATACATTTTATAACTAATAAAACATTTTTTGTTGTTATTTTGGACCAAACTGTGAAATTGACAAAATTACATTATTATAGTTACACATTTAAGTAATTGGATTATTATATTTAGAAATGTAAGTAATTACATAATTATTTAGGTTATAGAAATGTAAATAATGAGATGATTATATTTTTACACTTAATACGATTGTTCAATTTAGACATTTTATAATGATATTATTATATGTATGAATTTAAATAAATAATGATATTATTATATTTACAAAATTTCAATTATTAGATCATTAAACCTTAAAAAATGTACACTGAAAGCATGGCTGCAGACATATTTTTTTGATCTGCTAAAATTAAAAACTTTATTGTTCAGATATGGTTCAAATGACTCATATATTCATACAGCACACTTACTGGTGTTAATAAGGAACTGGTTGGAGACACCTGGGTGGTCTACATCATGAATAGCACTGGCGAAAATGGCAGCGAGAATTTCAAGGTCTGTGAAAACCGCCTGAAAGAGAACAACATGTGGATGTACGGTGAGTGAGAGCAGACATTATCTTCACCACATAACCTTGTTAGAAATCCAGCAAGTAGCACACAAGGTCATACCAAATCAAATCTGAACCAAAGGGCTCACGTGCCACACTTTTCACTTTTAATCAGCTTATAACGTTAGTCTAGACTAGCTGCACCCAAAAAATTCATAATTTAGTTGTTGCTTGTCCATATTCAACCCTCTATACAGTATGTAAACAACCTCTGTTATGGTCGAACCTCAACGCATGTGAAACGACCAACAAACGCCCAGTTGCTGAATGCTGAATAGGTCGATGTGGGCAGCAGACGTTCTCAGTTGTGACGTCAATACAATGGTCATTTGCAAAGGAACCTTAGTTTCCATAAATGTTCTCATTTCTTTTGAACACAGCAAGGAAAGCCTTGTTTTGACGAGCGGCATCCCTCACCTCCAGAGCAGGCGTGGAGAGCAGCACGTGTGTGGACTGGGTGACGTCAGCAGCGTGAATGTTATTGTGATACGCAACATCAGCATGATAATGGTCTTCTAAGGTCATCAGGTACGTTATGAAAGTGTCCAAGGGAATTTTAAATGTTTTGAGTAAATCCCTTTCCTGTCGGAGAGAAAAACAGAAAGATGAATAAAGTGTCCATTTATGATAACATGCAACACATTTAACATCATGACACAGCATGTTCAATAATGCAGGTTTTGACGGGGTCATATAAAGTAGGCTTCATGCGATTTTTCCCTGTCCATGTGAAGAAAGTTATGAAAACAAACACTGATGAATTGTGCACCGCAAGACATTTATTAGCAAAGTAAATAAAGGTGATCAGTGAATGTTTGGTCTCACCTGAAATATAGTGTACATCATCACCGTTAAAGGCCTGTTGCCTGAAAACTCTGTGACTTTAAAAACATTAAGGCCCCATTTGTTTATGTCCTCCAGTTCCTGAAACAGAGCAGCCAATCATTAGACAGTCTGTTGTGTGTGATGCCACTGAACTAAATGACTAGTGATTTAGCAACCATACATTTTTGGCTGAAATAGCGATTTCCGGTTTGCCAATCGAGTGAAAACAGTGATGTCTGGCGTTTCTCAGACGAGGCGTGTTGACTGAGTCAGTGTGATATTGTGCACACAACATGGATAAACTACAACAGGCAAACAAGCCAGCTGTGTGGACGCTAGTGCTGGATTGACAATATCGAGTTCTCATTTTACTTCACTGGTTGTCTTCATTATTTAATGTATGTTTAAGTAAATCTGTCATAAAAGCCATTATTTAAATGTTTATTTTTCAACAACAAATTGGAGTAGAAACATAATTCTGTTTTTAAAAAGTTGACAAAAACTCTTTATGTGCAATTAAAATTGTTGTATTATTAAGTTAAACTGATTGATTAATTTATTAATTATCAAATAAAATGCATTTTAAGCTTTAGTTTTCGGCTAAATGAAAAAAAAAAAACATTTCAATGCAATAATATTAATACAGTTATATTACAATTGCAAAACTTTTTTTGTAAAAATTATTATATCATTTTTAAAAATTATTTAAAAGTTCTAAAAAAACAATTTTCAGTTTCAGTTTAGAATTTTTTGTTTCAGCCCAGAATTTTTCTTTTGGTGCATCACTATTAATGACATTTGTCTTCAATAGAGCTGCTTATAGCTGAATTAAACTTGTTTCATAATTTGATCGACTTTACACTATTATAAACTAAAAATCAACACTGAAGTGAATTGAGCTGAATAAAAACACTTGTCTTCTGTAGAGCGGCTTTATAGTTGAACTGTGTTTACTTCATAGCTTTGCAGCATTCAGTTTCTGAACTAAATTAAATCAATATTGAACTAAACTGAGCTGAATAATGACACTGTCTTTTCTAAGGCTGCTGAACAGCTGAAATTGTATTTGATTCATAACTGAAGAATTAATACTGTCCTTTTCCTGTTTATTACTGGGAAGCTGCTTTAAAATAATCTGTATATTATGTATATTATGCAAAATGCATTTTTTTTTTATGAATGTTGGTTTGCTTTTATGACAGCCCCAAAATATTCTACAAATAATTCAGGACTAGTTTTAGAAACAGCCGGTGAATTTGAGAAAACTAACCTGCTTGAACAGAGCAGCGTTTGTTGCGTTTCTGAATGCATTCTTCAACCAAAGTGTTGACGAATACTAGTTTAACCAGCAATATGCTCTCGGTTAAAAACCATTGCTTCCTGGTGAACAGCATGACACTAACCAGCATGGAAACACATGCTGCTCCAAGCTGCTCTTTTCAGCAGGGTACGAAATCTTTCCAATCACACGTCATCTACCTACGTCATCGCACAAAAAAGCACCAATGACCAAGTCTACAAGAGTCTCTGATCAGGTCCAATCAGGATTCAATTGAGATGATTGAGGTTCTGTCTGAGTTTGAAGTGTTTGAAGCAGCTCTCCAACTCAAATAACCCGTCAGACGTCACGCTGCTCACCTTGGCTAAGGAGTCTTCCGTATCCGTCTTGACCCCGAAGCGAGGGATGTTGGAATTGGTGAGGCTGGTGCTGTGCATGAGTTTTTTCACCCCACTGATCTGACACATGGGCTTTTTCTTCTTCTCCTTCTCCTTCTGCGTCTGCGGGGAGGGCATTTCCACATCGTGCTGTTTGTCTGGAGAAACAATGGAAAAGTGTGAACGTGAGCCAGAGCTCCAAACCTCACCATAACACTGACAAGTCAAAAGCGTTGTGTTTTCTGATTGATGGTTTACCTAAAAATGTGTTGGAGATGAACTCTGAGACCTGGTTACCAGATCTGCTCATCTCAGACAGGTGCGTTAACTCCCTGTTCAACATCCGCTTGAACTGCACAGAGAGATAGATAGATAGAGAGAGAGATAGACAGACAATGGATAAATTAATCAATCAACTGAATTTTAAAATCAATCAGCTGTAACCTTCTATTCTAATCAGTGTGAGAACAGATGCCCTTCAAATAAAACCAGACCAGATCTAAAAATAGCCACATCTAGAAATCTGGCACATTTCATGAATTAATAAGTCCATATTTGTAAACTCATCATGAATAATTAAGAATTAAAACATGGATAAACAAGGATAAACATGGAAAAAGTTGTATATATATATATATATATATATATATATATATATAAAATGAAATAACTGAACCAGATCTGCTCATCTCAGACAGGTGCGTTAACTCCCTGTTCAACATCCGCTTGAACTGCACAGAGAGATAGATAGAGAGAGAGATAGACAGACAATGAATAAATTAATCAATCAACTGAATTTTAAAATCAATCAGCTGTAACCTTCTATTCTAATCAGTGTGAGAACAGATGCCCTTCAAATAAAACCAGACCAGATCTAAAAATAGCCACATCTAGAAATCTGGCACATTTCATGAATTAATAAGTCCATATTTGTAAACTCATCATGAATAATTAAGAATTAAAACATGGATAAACAAGGATAAACATGGAAAAAGTTGTATATATATATATATATATATATATATAAAATAAGAAAAATATTATTATACATGAAAATGATGTTGCAACACAAAAACATGCTAAATGGGATTAATTTTCTTCATGCAAAATATAATTTAGAATTTTTTTCCTTTCCTGAATATGTTTTTGTCAGATTTACCTAAAGGAGGGCAAAATTTGCCAGGCCTAAAAATATTTTTATCTTTACTGTCTTGCATAAAAAATGCACTGATTTACAACAACACACCATTAACAATGAAAATATCTGTGTATCAACCCAAAGCCTTCAAAACTGACCATATAAAACTCTCAGCGCACAGAAACTGTCCCGTTTGGATTGTTGTATAAAATATTAATCTCTGCTAATTTGCATATAATTTACATGTGGTGTACCGCACATTATTTGAATACATCAATTCATGACGACGCAAAACCCTCAATAAATGAAGATAAGTAAATACATAGAGGCCAAAATTGATTGTTTGCATTTTGATACCTCACAGCCTCTATTTGTCCTAAATAAGGATCCCCGTACACCCGAGACTAGAGATATAGAAAATCAGCTTCATGATCCATACCTTTATATATCCCCATGAGACTGAGCGTAAATAATTTGCTTCAGGCATCTTCGTTAATGCTCCACAACACGCAAAAGTAAGAAACAAACCACTCCTAAATCCTTCAGACAACGGCACACGAATGCTTCTTCGGTCTCAGTCTAAAAACTGCATCTGGGGATCAGGTGGAGGTGCGGAGGCTGGCAGACATGGCTTGGCTGTGGTCTTCTGAGCCGTGAGAAAGATGCTGGGCTGCTCAACACCTTCCAAATATGGGACTGCTCCTATAATGGATGCTGCTCGTGCCCCTCCACACAGCCAATCAGGGCTCATTACTGAGAGGGAGAGATGGGGGCAGGAGCGCCGTCATCCGCTGATGGAGGATGCAGGCCTTGGAGAACGGCACAGTTTTCACAGCTCACCTTGTACCTGGTTTAATCATACGGCAGAGCGGCAGTGTGCTCCGATGACTCATGAACGGCTCCTGGTGTGGTCTATCTGTTGACGTTATCTCATCAAGTATTGATAGACAGATATAATTCGGATGATATTTCGCCGGTATTATCGGCAATGACCGATCAGAAGCAGGAGCTTCCTCTCGCGTCATTTCTAACATCAACGTCCGCAATGTTGAGGGATAATAAACCATTTCTGTTTTCAAACCATGCACCTTGAGTCAAAATTGTATAGCTGTGTTTCAATGATAACATAAAAAATTTAATATTTATCTTTTTTTTCTTTTTTTTATATATAATTATTTAATTAATACTTCTTTTAAATACTGAAATACAATAAACTAAATAAATAAATAAATAAAATAAAATGGCTAAAAAAATAAACTATACAATATACAATATAATAAAATATACACAATAAAATATATAAAACATTTCTGGGTTGAATTTCTAGAAATAAAATAAAATAAAAATGCTATCTTCTGAAATAATAAAATCATTTCAGATTGAATAAATATTTAATGCTCATTTATTTGCCAAATGATTTTTTTCTCAATATTTTTATTTTTAAAAAAATTTTTTTAGTTATATTTTCAGATTCACCCTAAAGGAAGATTAACCTTTCAGAGTCACACATATTTGCCAGGCCAAACAATGCTTCTCATCTTTAAAGTCTCACGTAACAAATGCAATAAATAAATACTAAAACTAAAATAAATTAATAAAATAAAAATTTTAAAAATATATAAAATGAAAAGTAAGTAAATAAACAAAAAAAGTATAAAATGGATTAAACTGGATTTTATACATAATATACATAAAATATATTTTAAAATCTGGGTTGAATTTCTATAAAATAAAATAAAATGTTATCTTTTCAAATAATAAAATATTTTTAAATCAAATAAAAATGTAATGCTCAATGATTTATTTGGTAAGGCTACTGGCCTCTTTTCTCTCATCACCAGTGGCCACTGTACACTGTCACAAAGAACTGTAAAATTAATTTCAAATCCATTGACAGTCAAAAAGAGGAAGTAGTTAAACTTCTCAGACTGTAAAACAAACTCCTGTTTGAGTGTAAATATTGACCTGTTGATAAACGTCCACCTCCTTTCTCTAATCAGAAGTGGGTGTCTTTGATTACACTTGCGAACTGCAGAAGGGAACAAAAATCTGAAAATAAAACAAACATGTCTGGAACAATACGCCAGCATTCATATGGAGATATCGACCCCCATGCAAGCATAACACGAGGCTTTTATGTGGCCAGGGGAGATGTTCTCATTTGAAAAGCAAATGATAGATCAGTGGCTCTTTTATGAAAGCAATAGCCATTGGCCGGATTTGTTTGTGGCTGATTTGAATATGAACCTGAAGCCTTTACCATACGGCAATGATACTACATTATCAGGAGAAATATGAAGCCTCTGCGGTGGTGTTTTACGTCAAAGCATTTCTTTATGCAAAGCAACACATTATGTGGTTCACATAAGCAAGGAAATAAAGTATGTGTATGTCAATTTATCTTTGTTGTACAACCAAGAACTTCTACAGACCTACTGAACAACACTCAAAAATAAGAACAAAACACGGCCTTTATAATCATTATGTCTGCTCTCATCTGATAAGAAAATCATTTTAGAGACATTTTGTTGCATAAATGCATGTCTGATGCTGCATATAAAAAAAATAAGATTAAGATAAATAAAGTCTAATTGGTAAAGAATGAAGAGTCTGTCAAAAATTCAAAAAGTAAGTCAAAAAGTTATTGGTATTTTTAACACACATTTGCCTGCCACATCTGACACATTATTTTGGTTTGCTTTTAGTTGACTGTGATGTGTGTTTATTTATTGTTTGTTTGTTTGTATTGTGATCAGTGGTGGAAAGAGTACTGAAAAAATATACTCAAGTAAATGTACCATTACCTTCCAAAAAATGTAGTGTGAGTAGAGTAAAAGTACTTGTCCAAAAAACTACTTGAGTAAGAGTAAAAGAGTAGCCTATTTAAAAGTACTCATGAGTATTGAGTAGTGAGTACTGAGCTGTGGATTCTACCCCCTCATAATAATCTCATAAGTGAGTGGGGAATTTACTGAACGTGCCACTTGCGGGAGTTAACACTGTGTGCAATACCCGCAACCTCACACCAGATTTCAGGCCGTGTAGATAGGCAAGCATATATACAAATCATTTAGTAAGCAGAAATACGAAATTTACCTTAACATTAAGTTAGAGGAAGATGCGACTGAATTGATGCTTGAAGAATGCACTTCCAGCAGTCATGATAAACAGCTGGCGTTTAAAGTTTTCCATGCACAATTTGATTTGATGAAAGTCACGAGACCTATTACTCTCTATCCAATCACGTTGATGGATAAAAATGAAATGAAAATAAGCATGTAACGACCACAAACGGAGGAAAATAGCGGAGTAAAAGTACTGATACATCACTTAAAATGTACTCAAGTAAAAGTAAAAGTACACAATTTTTAAACTACTCTAAAAAGTTCAATTACTGATAAAAAATACTTAATTACTGTAACGTGAGTATTTGTAATTCGTTACTTCACACCACTGATTGTGATTGTGATTGTGATCGTTGTGATTTACTATGTAACACTGTGAGAAGCCGTTTCGTAATCTGAAGCTGTTTTTGCACTGATGTCAGACTTGTCATTCATTTATGAATAATTCGATATTTTGGCCAAATAAAAAAATAAATAAAAAAGAATGAAAATAAATAAATAATCTAATCTTTTCACAAAAAAATGTTAATTAAAATAAAAAAGATAAAGATAAAATAATTCAATATAAATAATTATGTAACTTCATATAGAAAACATTATTGGATTGTGATTTTAGCAAAATAAAGTTTCTGTAATATATATACCGCAATATCATACTGGCCTAATCGCCCACCACTAGTCTTACTGAAGAGTGAGTGACATGATGGAGCCGTAATAAGCGTACATGAAACAGGATCCTACAGTACAGTGGATTATGATTAATTATAGACTAGCGCTAACTAGAGGCAGTGTGGTCGCGCCATAGGAAGAGTCTGTTGCAGGTTGAGGCCGGTGTCATGCTGATGGAAACAAGGGGGAAAACCTCAAACCACACCCCAAATTCTGCCGGGACCACTTTCATGCTCGTCATCAGAAAGGCAAAGCTATTTCTTGAGATCTAATTATCGCCCGTCAAGTTTTATTGGGAATATGAGCACTCATAATAACACATAATTCCAAACACATCTGACAAATACTAAATGCATCCTGGAACTGGATGAACCAACAGCTTAAGTGCACAAAAGGGCTAAATCTGATGCAGGAATTTAAAATTGTTGACACAAAATTGTGGCACATTATGTGTCTGTATAGCTCATATGAAGGCCGTTTGTTCTCTTTGGTGAGGGAAACAGAGCTCTGTGGTTTTCTGTGAATTCTGGCTGGATCTGAGGCCTTTAGCTGGGCTCACACAGGCCTCGTGTGGCTTTGATTAAAGCCATCGGCGGACTCTTTGAGTATCGTTCAACGTTTCGTGCTTTGCGGCCGCCGCTTCAGAGAGGACCAATGGGACGCCAAAGGCTTCACCACAGCGCGCGTGCAGGATCCAAATCATTCAAGAAAGCCACTGGCCACAGATACCCCCTCATCCCATACACCGAACCCCCCCTCCATAACCCATATGTCTCATTTTCCTTCTGTCTTTCTTCCCTTGGGCTCTGGCAGGCCTCTGGCCGCGGGGTGTGGTGTGGTGTTTCAGGAGTTTCATGGAGGGGAAGTTGGGTGCTTTGGTAAATCCAGATCTGCTGTAATGGGAAGTCTTTAACTTGGTACCATATAGAAAGATAAACAGCTTAAAAAAAAGCTTTCTAGACAAGCTAGAGATAAAGATCTAAACAAATAAAAAAAATTGCAATCTAAAAGAGTTACTTTTTAATTTAATAACATTATTTCTGGAACAAAAATGTGTATCTCAATAAGATGACATTAAAGTGTAATTTACACAATACTGCTTAAAAGCTTCATAACAATTTATAAAATGATTTACATACATTATCGATATCTTTTGTATAATATATATATATATATATATATATATATATATATACACATATATAAAAACGCGTGTGATTTAT